CAGATGCTAATTATCCAGATTTGTAGCAAAATACCAGAAGTGCACGGCCCCAATCACCAATTTCAACAGATCTAAATCGAGGAAGCCTAGTTTTCCAAATTTTAGGGTACCTAAGAAGTACAGGAGGCATTTGCTCTCCTCAAAGCTCCCAGGTGCCGAAGTGGGTGGGGGTGGGGAGGCCGCGCATCTGCGTGAAAAACTGCAACTGTGAGTGAAGCAGGGACACAAAAGTTTAAAATTCACTAACTTTTCAACAGGACTTGGGTTCAACTCCCAAGTCTAGCTGTGTGATCTAAGCAAGTCGTTTAACCTCTCTGAGACTTGGCGACCTCATCTGTTAAACGGGGACTATAATAAAGGCCATGTGACCAGGTTGTTTTTAAAGCAGACATGCATATGTCACACGCGTCACAATGCCTGCTCATGCCAGAAAGTGAGGGGGACGGTGACGCAACGCCAAGCAGCAGCCTGCTGCTCCCTGCGCGCAACGCCTGCGCCCTGCAACTACTGCCGCGGGCTTTACACTGCAGTGACCCCGCCTAAGCGGGCGCTCTAAATAAGATACTTGTAGGAAAGACAATTTCAAATATCTTAGACTGATGGCTACAAATAAAAGCTCAAGGAACTGTACCCAGACCTTCCGGGACAACCCCGAGCCATGGCCCCAAGGCGAGAGGGCCCGAAACCCATCTCGTTAACTTGGATTTTAAGAACCAGGTGTAAAATTATCCCTGTGGATTGGAAACATGTTTTCATTATTTAAAACAAAAACAGAAACATGTTTTTATTATTTAAAACAAAAACAAAAACTCTCTCCTTTAAGTAAACGTGACTCCTGCAGTATAAATGTAGCACCAACTTGGCAGACTTAGCCACAGGGCAAATATAGCAAAGACAGTTATAAACGCGCTCTCACACAGCGATCATCAAAGGATTCAGCCCTGATCTGCTGCAGATACTTAAAATCCCATTTCCAAAATACAGGAAAGGCTTATTCTTTCCCGAATACCGTCTTTAAATCACTCCAACAAGAGCGAATCCTGCCTACAACATGTGTGAGGAACCAAAAGTCACAAGTTGGAGCTGCAGCCGGTTGAAACCCGCTTCGGCCCCTATCTGCTCACGTGGCGGCCAGAGCTGCACATCCACATGTGGGCTTCCACATAGGCCACGCAGTGCCAACACTGCCCCCGGGACGCTGCTGGTGAGTACCTCGCTGCTGGTGGAGAAGTGGAGAAGACCCCTGGAGCGCTGAACTCCGCTAATGTGGGTCCTGCAGCCTGTCCACTCTGAGGATGGGCAGGAAGGAACCACAAGGGGTGACTGGTCGTAGGGCCAGCTGCTGCGCAGTCACCAGTCACTGGGGACTCGGTGACAGCTGGGGATGGCCTATGCACCAGATGGAGTCTGAGGACCAAGAGCCTCAGCCTTTACATGAGCAAATGTGAAAAGCACCACGCAGGGAAACCTATCAACCACAACCCACCCCTCCAGTGGGACAGCATGATCTCCATGGCAAGACCTCCTGACTCAGTTTCCATACTTGTTACACTACGGCCTGAAGAGGAACTGAGGCCAGAGCCCTTATGCAAGGGCAGCTATTATGAAGGAACTGGACTTTTACTGTAGTTTCTTCAAGTGCCTGTAAGATGTGCCATCTGGCAAGGACTGTGATTTTCAGATACTGATAACTGAGGGCGGCCTCATACATACTTGTGAAAATCAAGCATCTTATTATTAGCTCACAAAAACGGCTACATTAAACTGAAACCTCAATCCAAGCAAACACTGCCACCGAAAGTCGGGTACCTGCTAATAGCTTACCCACATTAAAACAAGGTTTGTCTGAGGCCTCAACAAAGAAGGCCGGGCACATTATTTACTTGTTAGCTGAGTCAACAAGTATTTATTGTATACATTTTATTTTCTGGGACCATGCTAGGGCACCAGTGGGGAGCAAAAGCACCCCAGTTTCTGCTGAAAACGAGCTCATCACTCTAAACTTTAGAATAAACAAGGAATCCAACTTTTAAAATAAACAGGAAGAGTTGTCTCACTTCACTAGGGAGTGAAAACTGAAACTACCCATATAATTCTCCTTTGAGATTTTGCTAGTGTTTTCTTTTTTTGCATTCTAGAATCACATGTTAATGCTGAATAGTCAATCTGAAAGTTAGGGAAATACTGTAGATCACATGTTTTCTAAAATTCACACTATTAACAAAGAAAATGCACACACTTATTATAAAATAATGGAACTATATTTTTAAAATAATGATCATAACCTAAAGACACCTTTACCTCTCAATTATAAAACTATGATCACATATACTAGGTGCTAGTAAAATTCCTCTCCTAAATTTCAGGTCTCACAATAGCGAGCCCTTCACCCTTATTTCCAAACAAATGGTCAAATGGTCATCCAGGAGGCAAAATGCCCTTGAATTAAAATCGCAAAGCTTCCTGGCTACCTGGCATATTGAGAAATGAATTCAGAACTCAGTATTGCTTACCTTGTAATCTCTGGATACATTTTCTGATGTCACTGAACCTGAAATCTGACTAGAAATTGTAGCAGCTATAAGCTGTTTACACCATTCAACATGCGATCCTGTAGGACTAAAAGAAATTGTGTTATTAACAAATTTTAATACACAGGCTCCAGGTGAGAACAGTGGGTACTTACTAGAGAGATATGCACATTTCTTTTTAGAAAATGAACTTTGATGGCCCTCCCTGGTGGCGCAGCAGGTTAAAGCACGACACTAAGAAGCTAAAGCCACTTCTGCATGAGTTCGATCCCCGCCTGCCCCGGAGGTGACCCACATGGCGCGGCAGACCTCTCCTGACCCGCCTGCTGCTCCCCTCAGCAGTGGGTTTCATGGATCGGCCTGTTCTGCTCCCACTCTGTGTCTGGTGAATCCTTTCAGCACCCCTGCATCTCTGGCCTGTACCCCAGTTCTGTATGCAGAAATAAATTTAAAAAAAAAAAAAGAAAATGAACTTTTATTGGAGACTCATTTACCTTATATTTAATGCAAGAACTGAAACACTGACAACTAGCTCCATGCTGATCTTAAATACATCAACTTTTTTCAACTTTAAGAGTCTAGACATTATAGAGCTGTGCATGACATTCCCTAATCATTGCGTGGAATTGAATTTTACTCTATGACATTGACAGTGAACAGTCTTAACATTTGATATACAGAAAATTAATTATAAGTGAAATATTTATCTTATAGCATTATGCTTTTTAAATGTTTGTTGTTGGTGGTAGTTTTGAATCTAGAAAATAGTGTAATTTCAAGTGAAGCAAAATGACACTTAATGGAACAAAGTTAACTGTGTGATTTTAAAAAGAACAGACTAGAAAATGACGCCCCGTGGGTGGTCATGATGCCGCCTTAGGCTTCTATAGGTGATTTGACAACTCGCAAAAGGTTCTTTGGCCTGTTGTTATCTCAGAACCATGGTGTGGTAAGGAGGCAGAACAGGGACCTCTACCCAACTTGCTTCTGACATGAGGAAACTGAGGTACAGAGGTGACACCTGCATCTAGCTGCACCAGAGCCCTTATTCCAGGACAGGGCTCAGCCCAGAGTGCCCAGCAGACTCATGGCGTAGAGGGTGCGCCACCACAGCAGTGTACATCAAGGGTGGCAGCTCCTGCCGGCATGCACCCAGCACTCAGCGCCCACCCACACATGACCTGGCCCAAAGCTCACGGGACCCACTTCACCACCTGGAAGGCTGAAGCCACCAGACTGCAAAGTGGCTGAGCTGTGTTCCCCTGACTCGGGGCCACAAAAGCAAAGCAGGCAGTACCAGCCTTCTACGTCTTCTTCTCGAGGTCTGAACAGCGTCAGGTCAAGCCTGCCATGTTGCCTGGGGGCTGAAATGTGCCCCATTTCTAGCAGGGAGGAGTGGGAGGCATTTGAGCCCTGTCCTGTTAGAGACCTGCTGCCTCTCATCATGCTTCTTGGGGCTGCGCTTCCCTCCTCCAGCACATACCCAGACAAACCCAACAGCAGAGGCCAGCACTGGGGGCAACCTGCAAGTGGCCACCTGACTTCTGGCTCCCCAGTGGAGCACATGTAGGGGCGATCTGGTTCAAGCTCTCCAGGCCCCACCCCTGTGGTGCTCAGGCCACGCCCCAAGCCACCCCCACCTTGGGGAACCCACAGAGATAAAAACTGGAGACAAGAACAAAAGAGCTGTGGGAGCCCTGACCAAAGCCTGCAGCTCTGGGGGAAGGGTTTGGGGGGAGCGGGTGCTGAGCCGTCTGCTGGGAGACCGAGACCTTGCTCAGGGCACTTTTCAGCTGGAGCTCAACTTGTTTTTTGTCACCTGCAACCAGTGAGGTGGAGCCAACACAGCACCAAACAGCCTGCTGGCATGGGTGATAGAGAGGAGGCCTGAATTCAAGTCCCATTTTGTAACCAGCTAGCTCTGTGACCTTGAGCAAGCCACATCCTCTTGCAGGACCGCAGCTTTGTCATGAAGAGAACAGTATTCAGAAGTACGGGGCGGGCCTGCAGTCCAGCGGCTTGGCAGAGCTCCCCCCAGAGACCTGCCAACTCGACCTAGCTAACCCGCCCACCTCCTGTGTTTCCCACATCAGAGGGAAGCACAGCCAGTCACCCAGGCCGCCCGGGTCCCCAAGGGGGATTCACCTTGGTGCCCGCCCCTTCACTCTCATCTCAAGAGCTCATCACGCTAGGGCTCCCGTGGCTGAGTGTCATGACTGTCTGGCCTAGCCCAACCCCCCTCCCCTCCGCCCCCAGACTCCCATAGGTCCGTATCCCTCCTGCAATCTCCAGCCCATCTACGGGCGATGATGCCTCGGTTCTGTCTGCAGCCAACACCGGCATGGGACTCCAGGCTCAAATGCGCCAGTTGCCACTTTGATGCTTGTTCCAGGACCTGCAGCTGGCTGCTGAAAGTCAACCGCCAAGTCTAGAGCTGCGGCCTGCTGGCTTCTTAATCCGGCTCCACTACAGCTCTGCCATGGCAGCACCATTTTGCCAAGAGTACAAACACGGATGCTTCTTGATTGTTCTCTAGTGCCCAACCACCAGTCTTCAGACACCCAACTGGCTCCCGGAGGCGTCCTTTCCTCCACCCCGCCCAGAAGCAGGCCCGCCACACGGCTCCCACCTGCTGCTCTCTGCTCTGCCCCATCCCTTGCAGTCTGTGGTCCACACAGGGCCATGGAGAGCTCCCTGAAGTCAGCCAGGGTAGGCCACTCCTCTGCTCCCAAACTCCCAAGGTTCCCTGACTGTCCACCAGCTGCCCCTGTGACCATGACCACCACTCCTCTCTCCCCGCTGTCTCCTTCATTCCTGCTGGTGACACTGGCCTCCCTGATAACCCTTGAACTCGTCACTCTCCTCTCACCCCGGGGTGAACAGGCCTCCGCCTAGAACAGGCAGCTGTATGACTGGAGCCCTCACTCTGCAGGCCTTACACAAACATCACCTTTCTCAGCTTGGCTTGCCTGACCCTCCTACTCCTCTACAATGCCCTCCCAAAGGGAGGCATGTCAACACTGGCATGTCTACCCCTTCCCAGCTGGCGTTTGTGCCCCAGCACTTGCCACCACCTAGCAGAGAACATAGCTGACTTGCTATGTTCTATCTACCTCTCCTGCCAAACATCCGCTCTCAGAGGGCAGGGACTGGGTGTGTCCCCTGCTACGTCCTCAGGGCCAGCACAGCACCTGACAGAGCTGTGAGCACCTGGAAACCCACTAGGCTGGCGCACACCTCCCTCTGACTCACTCCTGCAGAGCAGCCGTTTGCCATGTCAACCCCATCTCAGAGCTCCCCAGAAGGAAGTCCTTTCGCGGCCCCCAGGGTCAGGGTGACCATATTAATTTCTCATCAAAACCCAGACACTTGTGAGTCAAAGGAGGATGCCATTAACAACGACACCGGCCCCGGCCAGCAATGCACCTGATCCATCCCGGGCAAGGGAGACCACATGGCACACTGACACGCGACAGCGCTGTCCCAGAGGTGGGGGGGGGGGGCACTAAGGTTTAGGGTGGGAGCCAAGAACCTGCATTTGCATCAAGTACTGTTGGGGATTCTGACTGCAACCATCCAGAAAGCAGAACCCCGCCCAGCTCGATTCCCCAGGAAGGCAGTGAAGCCCCTGCAGACCTCCGGCGCCTGCACTCACCACTTCCACATCCAGGATCGCCTACCTGAAGGCACATCCAGGGCCCAAAAGTCCTCCCCAGCTCATCCCCTTCAGTTCAAGTGTCAGAGGACCTTGCTGACAACAGTATGCTTCCTGACTTGACCCCACCCCACCAACCCCTCAGAGAAATAAACCAAGTACCCCACCCCCCAAGCACCACAGAATCTCAGGGGTGGGACAGGGCACCTGGAATTCTTAAACATCTGGGAGGACTCCCAGGTACAGCTCTGACACTAGGCCCCTGCCATCAACCACGACTGTGCTCGCATCTCCAGGAGATGGCGAACCAGAGAGCCCTCGTCTCTCCTGGTCTCTGTCATCCCACCTGGCAGTGGCTGGCTACCTGCCATGGAGGGGAGTCCTGTCCCTTTCCTGCATCCTCTGCGCTGTCATTCAATTTCAGGGAGGCAGAGTGCGGAGCGCGGGTGATTCATAAAAATACCTGGTCATCACACGAGGTAGAAACAAAAGGAGTGTTTCTTGTTGTGCCTCTGCCTTGGAAACTGCCCCAAGTTCGTGGCACTGGTATGACTAAGCCCGGCAGGAATGAACATCTGCAACCGCCTCAGTGCCTGACAACAGCCTCGGCCTCATTCACTGCACCCATGTCAGCGCGAGGCTGAGATGTGGAGAAACTGGATATTCTGGGCTGTGGGACAGCCCAGGCCTTGGGCTGCAAGCCTCGGGCTGGCGCTCCCAGGGGCCGACTGGTCCTGGTCCTGCACCTGCCTACCCAGTGATGGGCTTTATGTCCACGAAAACCACCAGCGGCTCCTGCAGGAGTTAGGTGAACCCCTGCGCCTTCGTGCAGCCTGCCGGCCGGCTGGAAGTCGGCCAAGCCAGCTTTTCCCACCAGGGCAGGGCCGCTGC